TAGGTACTATTTATATACTTGGAGCCCCAGGGATCTTGAAAAGGGAGTGCTCGCCATGGTCCCAAGTGACGTTCTCCGCTTCGGGTTTGTTGAATTTAGGAGTTTAGGGTTGAGGGTTTTGGGTTTTTGATTTTTGAGGGCCCTTTTCCTCCCTGCTACAGTCGGAATACCTGGGTTTTGGGGTTTAGGCTGTAGGGTTTAGGATCCAAAAAACACCAAGCATCCCTAGTCATCAAAACGATTTGGCGCCCAAGTGGCGGCATTCGCTGGAGGTGGCGGCTCAACCGCTTCTTCCTCAAGGATACTGCATTCTTTCAAAGCTACTATACGCAACCCTAAACCCTAAGCCCTAAACCCTCTGGTGGATCTGTAGCTAGGAGGGCACGAGACTAGGCACACATGTAGGGCGTGCATTGGGCTCACGAAGTGCAGCGTAGTTTTGAATGGGGTTGGGGTCAGAGATATGAACAGCTTCAAGTATTCAAGAACACCTGAAACCCCCAAACCCTAAACACTCACCCCGAAAACCCCGAACCCCAAACATCTTGAAGCCTAAACTCTGACACAGAAAAACCCTGTGCTTTCAACGAATCCTATGCTCCGGTTTTTGCTCTCAAGGTCATCAGACCTCGTGCCTCTGCATTTATGAGAGTTTAGCGGCTTCAATGCAACAATCGGGACTTGAATGGGACCTAAGAACATTCAGGCCTCAACTATATCAGAGGAGAACCCCTGAATTGAAAGGAAAAAACCTAAAACTGGAACTGCGACCCTGATAAGACTTAAGGCATATTCCTTACTTCCAGGATGTCAAAAGGTCTGGTTCAAGAAGGTCACGGGATAAGGCGGCTGAGGTGCCGAGATTTTGGTCCCTTAGGGTACTTGAAGGATCATGGGACTTAGTAACTATGGTTATTATTATGGTAACTATACTTATAATTACTTATAACCCCGATTAAGTTACTTATAAGCATACTTACTAAGTCCCATGATCCCCCTTCTAGAACCCTTATAGATCCCTTTAAGGAGCCCTATTATAGAACCCTATAGCACCCTTAAAGGGAACCCTAATCTAAGTCCCATGATCCTCCAAGTAGGGTAAGGGTTTCGGGTTTAGGGTTCAGGCTGCTCTGTCGGACAACTACTTGGAGGGGCAGCGGACTTATAGTAAGGGTTCTTAAGGACCTATGGGGTTTAGGGTCTACTTGGAGGGGCAGTACGATGTCCCCTGCCCCTCCAAGTACACTCCTGGCTTTAGGAGTTGGAGGGCCTAGGGCGTATTACCCTAAACGTCCATGTACCTGAGTAGTACATACATTGGCCCTACAGTACCTGTTTAGGGACTACTTTCAGGCCCATGTCCATAATACTTCATTTGGGTACATGGACCCTTAGGGTTACGGTGTTTAGGGGTCTAGAGTTTAGGTAACAGGATTAATGGCGCTGCTTTTGGTTCTACCCATATAGGCTCCATAGTAGTTCTCGCTTGGGGCTCATTTTTGGATTCCTAGAAAGTAATCCCCAAAACGAACTAATTACTATGGAGCCTATGGGTACTTGGAGGATCATGGCACTTAGTAAGTAAGGTTATAAGCCCAATTAATGGGGTTATAAGTAGTTATACGTATAGTTACCCCAATAATAACCCTAGTTACTAAGTCCCATGATCCTTTAAGTAGGGTTTAGAACACAGGATTAAGGGTGTGGTTGAGCCAGCGGCAACTTCTTAGGGCCTGGTCCACTTAGATGAGAGCAGGTCCTCAAGCCCCGCATTCTAGATCAAAGCCAACATCCCAGTTCTGATGTGCTCAAAGCATCATAGCACTTAGAACCCCCTTCCCAAAATACAATTTTGTACATCCGAAAGCCAAATCATAAACCCAAAAACCGTACAACCGAAAACCCTAAACCCTACAGATCCCTTCAAAAGACCCCTTATAGATCCCTCTAAAGGAACCCTAAGCCCTAAAACCCGATAACAAGAACGCTAAGGACACCGAACTAGTGCAGGCCAGGTCCCCTCTAACGCCCAAACACCAATGAAAACAAAACAGCCTCTCCTTAAGGAATCGTGGGACTTACGGTGGATGATACAAATCCTGCATTACCCTTAATAAGGCATATGCCATAATTCCCATAGTTTAGGGTCCGTAAGGTAATGCAGGATTCTTATCATCAACAGTAGTAAGTATGGTTATGAGTACCTTAGAAGGGTTTATAAGTAGTTACAAGTAGAGCTACCCTACCCGGGCCGCAAATGTATGCAGAAAGTGTAGCCTTTTGTAGGTCTTTCGGAGGTGTATTTAGGTAGGATTTACAGACCCAAACCAGCCTCCACAGTTGCTTCCATTGACACCATTTTTCGGGGCGCGTCGTCGGTGTCGCTCATGGCTCCGACGCAGCTGCTATACCCAAGCCACAGATCATATGGACCTAAACCCCCCTCAAGAATAGCGGCATCGGTTTTTACGCTTCGAGGGTTCGGGGTTTAGGGTCCAAAACCCTAAACCCCGGACCCCAAACCTAAAACCCTGCACCCTCAAGCCCAAATCCTAAGCAAAAGCACCTCTTGAGCTTTTGAAGCGCATTTCGGCACTGTCACAGATGAGCCACCAAAGCCCGACCCTGAGCAAAACAAACAAACCATCCCAAGAGGTAGATCAAAAAGAGGGCTCGGGGCACCTGACCAGAAATCTATGTATAATAAGGAACGGTCCATTCTCCAAGCTCTAAATCCGGCAGCACATCTCTTATAGGATTCTCAATTTGAACTCCAAGAAGGAACTACTATGCCTCCTATAAGGCCGATCCCCAAAGCCTGAACCCCAGCTCAACTGAAGACAAATGCATAAAAGGGCTATGGCGGCTTAAGGTTTAGGGTTCCATCATAGGGTTTAGGGCTTTCAGGTTTCGGGGGTTTGGGGATTAGGGTTTCGGGGGTTCTATTTATTCCAGCCCGCCCACGGCCGAAGCCACGCCCTTCCAGGGCTGAAGATCAGTGAGGCGAGCCCTTAAACCCTAAAGGGAACTCCAGAAAGTTGGAATATGGTTTCAGGGTAGGATACCGTATAATTTACCAGAAAGGGCATTAGGATAATCATATTCCAACTTTCTGGCGTTTACTTTAAAGCCTACAAGCCTACCTTGTTAAGGACTTACATATAGGGCATAGAAAGGAGCCCCCCCAAAAAAAAACAAAGCAGGTTCTCTGGGGTCCACTAAACCCTGAACATCCCTGAGCTCCACATCGGGGAGTTTCCGAAAAAAGGGGACCCTAATAGACTACCCTAAATAGTAGGATCCTTATTACAAGGACCCCCCAAAATAAGGTTCCCCTAGATGGGGGTGCTAACATTCCCTGTAGCCGGAAAGACCTACCTTTTTAAGGAAGTCTATATAGAAACCATAATAAGGAACCCTAAAAAGGTAGGTCTTTCTGGCTACAGGTCTGCATTCTTCTAGGTAGTATTATTAGGGAGACCCCTTGAAGGGTACCCCTTCTGAACCCTACTCCTGGCTCTCTTAAAAGGGGCCTTATTGAGAGGGTCTATATCCCCAAGGGTCTCCCTAATCCTAACTCTCAAAGGGGAAAGGAGGGACCCTTAATAAGGACCCCTAGGTATATACCCTTATTATAGCCATTATGTGGCCCATTATAGGGTAGGGGTCCCCATTAAGGGTCCCTCCTATCCCCCTTTGAAACTCCATCTTCGAGACCTTTCCGGCTTCCAGTCGATGTCCAGCCCTGCTCGCGCTGAGCCCCAAACTCCAAATAAGTCCCCTGCCCTCCAAGTAGGGTTTAGGGTTTAGGGCCCCTAAACCCGGTGTAGGGTTTAGGGTTTAGAACCCCGCATAAGCCCTTGAAACCTTGAGCCCGGAACCCTTAAACTTTGAACCGTGAAACCCTCAAACCCTTCGTATAGAACGCAGCTTTTCCAGCTCGAGTTTAGACTCTGGAGCCGTCTCGTCACTAGCCTCCCGAACGGGAGTCGATTCGACGAAATTCGAGAGGAACCCGGACAACAGTTCGCATTTTTTTCAACACAAGCTCAGACACTCTATCTGTCGACAAACCCACATGTCAAACCCACTGCCTTCCCTGCGATCCGTCTTATCAAGGTTTCGGGTTTAGGGGTTTAGGGTTTCGGGTTTGGCGCAGTGCTGGCAGAGCCACATCTCAAAGCAGGCCCACCGAATCTTTGCTATCCTGAACCTTGGAATTGCATGTCCTCAGCGCGAAGCCGACTCTTACGTTTCAACTGTCTGAATTGGAATCTGATTTTTTGAGATGGCTTGCAAAGCTTTCAAGTCTTCCGCCACACGCTTGTTACTGTTACTTATCAGTTATCTAGCATTACGGCGAAACACTCCGGGTGTGAAACGGTAGTGTGCGAGAATCATTCGCGGCTTCCAGAAGCGCAAGCCCCAGCGGCCGCAACGTCAAGCTGGTTTGGGGTCAACGACTGAAATCTGGCGGCATTGGCAACTAGAACAGGGTTGGGGGGGTAGATTGTACGACAACTATAGAAAGGAATGTGGTGGCCCCTACGTGCATTAGGTTCAGCTGAGGCAATGCCTCGAGCCTGATGCCGGTCGAATGTCGGTATTCATCCCCCGTGGCTCGGACAAAGGCCTACTTGTCGGGTATCATGGGGAACTAAAGCTTAACCTTTTTGGTTATATAGGGGTTATATAGGGGCTATACTACCTAAAAAAGGTTAAAGGTTACTTAATCTACTACTATTAAGGCTGATGCAGTACTTGCGTCCAACATGAAACCTACTGTTACAGGTGTAGAACTGAGATGCCACAGGTCCAGCACTCCAGCTCCCTAGTCTGTTATCTTACCGATGCCTGTAGAGTCCGTAGAGTGTCCCCTAAACTCTAAAAGCGTAAACCCCCCAAAACAATACACCCTTAACCCTAAACCTCAAAACCCCTAAACCCCCAAAGCACCCCAAAACCCAGCCAGCCGTGGCAGAGGGACTATTAAGATGCCTTCAGATGGCTTTACTAGCCTCCTCCTCGTCCTTGGGCTCGTCAGCCTCTGCAAGAGGTCGTTGAGGGTTTAGGCTTACTTGGAGCTTCATGGGTAGTTATACGTAGGGCTGAAAACAAGGATAACTATATTCACAGCATGTCATAGCCATGGCCCATTAAGGGACTTATAACTTATTACCCCACTTATAACTACCCATGAACCTCCGAATAGGCTTTGGCGTTGAGGGTTTCGGCCTGAGAGGCCCGAATCTTCGCCAGGTTTTGGGGAGTGAGATCGCTCTAGGAGGCCTCGTTGATGGCCAGACCCAGACGACTTAAAACTGCAATGCAGCGGCCTTCATGATAAGTAGATTTAGGGTCTTGGGGTAGATGATATGAGCGTTCTAACTAAAAGGGAACTATAAATTTATACGGAGGAGATACAATATTTGTACTGATTCCAGCCCCCATTGTACTCTCACCACCAATGCTGCTGCTGCTGCTGCTGCTGTCGATGCTGCTGTCAACATGGCTCCTGTGATGTCGCTGCTGACGTTGATGATGGCATTCGGGTGTGACGACGAGGATCTCGATGATGATGGTTCTGCGGATGATTATGGCGATGATGCTGAAGAAGAGCAGTCTATGATGGTCCTTAGGATGGGGGGACCGATAATGTTGGGGATGCCGTGAGCGGCATCGAACATGAACAGCCCGATGGGCTGATCGCGGGTCTTGGCGACGACAGTGAGAATGCGAAGGAAGGCCCGGTCTAAAATCCTATCGCCACATAAAACTCCAGAAAGCAGTGAGAGACCGTGTTGCAGAGCTCGGTAGCGGGCTGCATAGGTTTGTGGCCATGATATCTCGAGCTCATCCTGCCTCTTGAGCTTCTTTACACCTAAGGCAAGTGAATATGAAGTTGTCACTCTACGCTTTGGGTTGGTCAGGCTTCCGGCTTCCCCAAGCCCGAAAAAGTCATCTCCAACCAGAAAAGAAGAGCCTTTTCGACCTTCGCTGGCTGAGCACCTTCGGCAGCCTCAGATGTGGCGTTTCGGTGGCTACGTAGGGCATTAGAGCTCGGGGTTCCGAGTCTACGGTTACTTTTGGGTCTGGACTTTGGCTGCAAGAATTCAGGCTTAGCTACCCTCGCCCTAGACCTCAACCATGCAACTGCTCGCACTAAGACTATCATCATTGTCATCATGAACCTCCTCCTCCCTCTCCTCCTCCTCCTCCTCCTCCTCCCCATCATCCTCATCATAAGTAGCGCCATCAGGACCATGCTATACTGTTGCTCCCTCAACACCAGCATTAATAAGTTCGTCACCGTGACTGCTTGGAAAAATTATCACGAAACCTTGTCTAAAGAAATCGCTATATTACCAAGTACTCCCTATGAAAGGACTTTCGGGCCTGTGTGGGTGCCAAAAACCATAACTAAGCACTGCTTGTACCCTTGCAGCTCAGTACAGCACTAGAAGGGCCTCAGCAATTAGAATACGGTTTTGGGGCACCAGTATACTATAGCTATAACAAGGAACCCCCAAAATAGTATAGGCAATTATTAAGGCCCCTACATTACGTTGTCAGAGCCGTGGAACCGGCTGGCAAGAGGCTGATTCCATCGTCGCCATCTCCATGGAGCCTACGGGAGATCCCGTGAGGGCCGCCAACCTTTGTTGCACAAGCATGAACCCACAGCAGTCCAGCCACTTCTAGTCTATGGCACGCTACCGCCCCCCATTTTTCTACCTACCTATGGATGCAGGTATGCATGCGTGCACTATGTATGCATGCATGCATGCACGCGAACATACGTACGTACGTATGGAAGTACGTATGTATGTATGTAGGTAGGTGGGTATGTACGTATTGATGGATGAGTGAATGCATGTATGTATGTGTAGATATGTAAGCATGCATGTGTGAAGGTATTTGTGTGTATGTGCGTAGCAAGGCAGGTAGGTTGGGAGGTAATTAGGCCGGTGCGACACCATATGACTATATATGTATATGTACACACACACGCATACGTGGATGTATATGTGCATGTATACATACATGTCTCTGCGTCAATTTGTGTGAGTGAGTGAGTGAGTGAGCGAGTCTGTATGTGTGTGTGCAGGTGTTATGTGCATACACACATACAACATACTTAAGTACTGACTGACTTACTTACCTCCTGCTTACGTAACCACTTACACACACACACACTGGCCTACATGCACACATGCAAAACATACATAATAGAGGCATCTGTGCATACTTGCATGCGTACTTACATACACATATGCACACACATGCATACATGCATACATACAAGCATCTCATGTGGCATAAACATACATGTGTTTACACACACATGCTATTCAAAGATATGTATGGATCCTTAGGGTAGCATAAATACAGAATTGCATGTGTGTGTATATACACACATGTATACAAGCAAGTTGGAATGTTTAGTACATGTGTGTGTATATATATATATATGTCACTATGTATGCACATATGTTTTTTTATGGTTTTATGTATGTATGTATATGTGCATATGTGTGTGTGAATATATATATATATATATATATATATATATATATATGTATATGTGTATGTATAAGGCATGCACACATATCGCACACCGTATACAGCACATATGGTGACCCATTATATGGGTAACGGGTAACTCGGCATTTAGGGAACCTTTTCGTACCCCTTGGAGCCGGGCAATTGGAGCCGTTCATAGTTGACATTCCATGTGTGTGTATGTATATATATATATATATATATTATGGATGTATGTACTTGTTGTTTCTATATATATATATGTATATATATATATATATATGTCTGTATGTCTATAATGACTCCCACCCCCTCCCCCACCATCCCAAAAAGAAGAAGAAACCTCCTCCATCCCGAAGCACACCCACATGAAAGCCAACCTCCCACCGGTAAGGCCACATCCTGGTCTTGCGACCTCCGTTCGACGTGCATCAACCCGCTAGGGCGCCGGTTGCCTAAATGGTTACTACCCATATGATATGCAACCGAGGTAATTGGAGCCTTAGGGAATTAAGAATCTTATTGGGGTACGTATGTTATAGGGTACTCATAGCCATACTTACTAAGTCCTGACCCTCCAAGTACATCTCAAAAGAAAGCAAAACTCTGACACGGGCTTTGGTTTAGGCTTCGAGGCCTGTTTGGACTTCAGGTTTAGGCCTTAGGGCTTAAAGGTTTGAAGGTCTCTCCTAACATAGGATTTTCACGTTCAAGTTTTCAGGGTTCTGTGTTTTGGGATTTTGGGTGTGCGCCGTCACGGCATGGAGACTTCTAAGCACTTAAGTCGTCCAGGGCACTGCTTGACGATCCGATTCAGCTCGGCCTCGACATACGTGAAAAATCTGCCTTGGTTTCCTCGGAAACAAGCAGTCACTGAGGATATCATAGAGTTTAGGGTGTTGGGTTTTGGGAGGGGTGTGAAGTAGTGCTATGGACCGCCACTTCGTGCCTACATTGGGGCCTTTCCTGATCAAACAGAAGCCGTGAGAGGGTTCACTCGGGCCGCAATAATCTCTGAAAGAAGCAGCTCAATTAAATATTTGGTTTACGGCCTATAGTCTAGAATCTCAAACACAGATGCCTTGATACTTTGAACAGGGTGTGTGGAATTTCATATAGTGCCTGCCCTAACTATCAGGAATAGTGTTGGTATCTATTCCGGTCCCTACAGTAGAAGCCAGAAAGTTGGAACATCATTACCCCGTCCGCAAGGTAAAGTATAGGGGATCACAGCACTGCATCCTATATCTATGTTCCACGATTCATCCTATATCTATGTTCCAGGATTCATCCTATGTCTATGTTCCAACTTTCTGGGGTTCACTGTACTGTTAGTTTAGACTCTCCGGCAGCATCGATTAAAGGCCTCGGAACGCTGCGCACAGGGTACTGCCTCCATACAGCCACAGCAGGGGGCTCCTATTAAGGCCTTATAATAATTTAGGGTTTAGGGTTTAGGGTTTTATATGTCTGTATTATGAATTATACTGTAGGAACCTGATTAAGAAGCCTTGGGCCTTTTTTCGGGTTCCTTATATGAATCCTACTATTTTGGGGTTATAGGCCCAGGCTTTAATCAGGTTCCTACATTAATTACATCTTATTCTGCTGTTACGGAGTGGGGGCAGTACCCGAGCTATTCACATCTTCAGTTTCTGCTATTTGGTTTGACTAAGCCTTGTGACGACACCCGGCCCTTTAACTAAACCCTCAACCCCAAACCCGAGCGAGATAATGGCGTAAGATTGGCACCATTGCCCTGTAGTTCGAGGGACCTGCTGTTCAACTCGGGTTGGCGAACTCCAACAGTCAGTCACCCATCAAAGAAGCCACCGGAACTTCAAACGATAACCCCCACCTGACAGCATGCTGGAAAGTAGCGCATCAGCCAGGACTGATCCTTGCTGGGAGTGCGCCAGGGACAAGAAACGAAGCTTGAGGCTGGCAGGACAGCACGGTTTTTGGGTTTAGGGTTTAGGGTTACTGCGACGAAGACCAATGCATGTTGCACCAACACTGACCAGCAGTTATGCGCAACGAACCGCTCGCGTACAATGAGGAAGCATCCAACTTGAAGCCTCAACCTACAGTGAGTTAATATGGAGCATTATTCACTAGAGTCGGTTTTGTGGGTACTATTATCACGAGGCGCTCGAGCAAAAACTGTGTAACGATGGGGTCTATTGAGGCCTCTGTACCAAACCCTTAACAACCCACTGCTACATTGTCACTATAAGAACCTGTATAATAGCCCTTATAGATACCCACAAGGGACCACGGCTGTAAACAGATGCGCCCTTAATAATTAGAATAGGTTCCTTGTGGGTTTTCGGCTTAGGGTAAAGGTTTGTTGGGGGAGGTCTATAGCAAGGTAGTGTCTATGAGGGGATAGAACCAACTAAGGACGATCTGAGACGTCCTTCCGTCCAACATGACCTTCACGTCGAAACTTAGTGAACCAAAGCAGAGACTGAAGTGGCGTCTGTTCTACATAGCAAACCCTTTGTTGAATACATACAGTATACTTAATGCCACGTATAGGGTATGGCGTTTAGGGCTTGTATGGTTTAAGGGTTTAGGGCTTTATCACATACAGGGTTATACGGTTTATATCGGGTTTATAGGCCTTATAGGATGTATAGGGTTCATAGGATTCATACGGTTTAACGGTTTAAGGGTTTAGGGTTTAGGTTTTTTTGCGGGGGTCTAAGGGTTTAGAGTTTTTAAGGGCTCACACGGCTAAGGGCTGTGGGTTAAATTTCTAGAGACTGCAAGATGAGGGCCGGCACTGCTGCCTCAGCGAACGTTCACTATGACGGTGCGGCGTCCTCGGTGGCGCCTGTCTGGCTCAGGAGAACTGGAGGTGCTGCGGCGGCGGTGCTTCCGGCGCGGCCTCGGGTCCGGGCTAGGCCTGAACTCCGCGTCGGACGGCGCCACCTTGGGGACCTTGCGCTGCTTGCCCTTGCCTTTGCGCGCGACTGGGCGGGCAGGCGCAGCTGCGAGACCCCGTGAAGCTTGCTTGGCCCACCTGGGAAGCAACTGGGCCTTTTCGTAAAACCCAGAGAGAAGGACCCTTCTAGGAGCGCTTCTTTAATTAAGCTACATCGGAACCCGACTTGGAACCAAGGCCCCACGAAGTCTCCAACGGCAAGTGCACTGCACCCTCGGACTCACGGACGAAGACGCAAGTCAGTAGAACTTTCAATGCACGAACTTGAGCATGAGAATCTGCGACATGAGCTCTGAACCCTCGGCTTTGAGCCCCAAATCTCAAAACCCTTTCCCCATGAGCCCAAACACCCCTGAAGCCACTCCTACAGTAGCCCTCTATGTACGACCTTACATAAGCCATCATAGTAAACTTTGTAGAAACCGTTGCGCAAAGCCTTGTAGTAACCCTCTGCGACTTTTGGCACAAAGCCTTTAAACCCCAACACCCCTAGACCCTGAACCCCTAAACCTCCACAAAGGCTTACGGTTATAACCTTCTACATAAGCCTTTGAGTCGCCCCAAACCCTAGACCCTAAACACTAAGACCCCATAAGCCGAATTTTGGCCGCCCAGGTTTCGTGAATGACTTTGCCCACATCGATGGCACGGGCAGGTCCCCGGAGCCGCAAGCAGCCCATCAAAAACTCCTTGACATGTTGTGTTTCCCTAAGGGTCCATGTACCCAAACAGTATATACTTTGGGCCCAGTGTATGTAGCTATATAAGGAGTACTGTAAGGCCAAAGTATATACTGTTTGGGTACATGTACGCTTAGGCAGCATACTGTATAGGGGGGGGGGCTCTTGCATTGGTGTTTAGCGTTTCGAGGTCAGGTGTTTCACACTTGGGGTCGTGTATTCGTGTCCTTCTCAATCCTGCCCATAAGTGTCCCACAAATTAGGATTCTACATGTGTATATATGCGTGCATGCATGTATGTACGTCCTAAACCCCGCGCTACATTGCAGCCCCATGTAAATATCTGGGTTGTGCGTTAAACCCTTTGAAAATTATTTATGAATAGGTTCCCTTTATAAGGAAACAAGGGAAATTAAAAAGTATCCCAAAGCACAACCCAGATATTCTTGGTGTCACATGCCGGGCTCTAGATCCGGGCTCGAGAGTTTGGCGCTGTAGAGCTGCAGGGATTTGGTGCTTCGGGTTTCAGTGTAACCCTAAACCCCAATTCAAACTTAAACGCTCAACCCCCAAACTTAAACCATGAACCCTAAACCCCAACTCAAACTTAAACCCTCAATTCCAAACTTAAACCATGAACCCTAAACCCTAAACCCTGAGCCCTAAGGCTAGCTTTTCGGGCCAACCGTTCGGCGTTAGGGTGTTCGCTTCACAGTTCGGACCTTCAGAGGTTCGTGTTTGAGAGCTGAATCCGTGTACATCCTTCTAAATCGCTACGACAACCCTCCAAACCCCTCAGAGTTCAGGGGTTTATAACACATCATGAAACCCATGAGCCTAAGCCTAAAGCCGTATGGAAGGCCTGGGATCACTTACGCCAACTCGCAAATCCTAAACTCAACACCCTAAACCACTTTGCAACAAGATTGTTCTGTATGACAAACACTTAACCCTAAATCGCACAACGGACCTCCACTTCCACTTCGCCGCCGTTGTCCAGGTCCAGCAGTTTGAAGAAGGACCAAGCCTGGAGTCTTGGGTTTATGCAGGCCGTTGGGTGTAGCATTAGGGCTTAAGGTTTAGAGGTTTGATTTTGGTTCATGCGGTTTCGGGCTTGTGGGGTTCAGAATATTTGGGGCTTAGAATTAGGATTAGGCTATATCGGGCACAGGCCTTAGTGCAAGGGTCTATACCATTCTCATCAGCATCGCGATGATGATCCCGAAGGGTCCATGTACCCAAATAGTACATATGTACTTTATCCTGAAAGTACTCCCTTTATAGGTACATCGGGTCCAAAAGTATATACTATTCGGGTACATGGACTATCAGCGATTCCGTCCGATGTTGCTACTTAATCAGTCAAATCCTAAACCCTAGACCCTATCCGATATTGAAGCAGCCAAGCGTCATCCCAAACATCCAGGCCCAGGACTTCGAAATACGCCTGTGCGGCATCAGGTCCCTCGAATCCGGCTCTGGCGTCCAAGTCCAGTAGTGGTAGCAGTCGTCGTAGCGATAGTAAGTAGTTGTAGCGATAGTGAGTAGTAGTAGTAGTAGTAGTAGTAGTAGTAGTAGTAGTAGTAGTAGTAGTAGTAGTAGTAGTAGTAGTAGTAGTAGTAGTAGTAGTAGTAGTAGTAGTAGTAGTAGTAGTAGTAGTAGTAGTAGTAGTAGTGAGTAGGAGTAGGAGTAGGAGTAGTAGTAGTAGTAGTAGTAGCAGCAGCAGCAGCAGTAGTAGTAGTCGTAGTAGTCGATGTAGAAGTCGTAGTAGTCGTAGTAGTAGCAGTAGCAGTAGCAGTAGTAGCAGTAGTCGTCGTAGTTGTAGAAGTCGTAGTAGTCGTAGTAGTAGCAGTAGCAGTAGCAGTAGCAGTAGCAGTAGCAGTAGTAGCAGTAGTCGTCGTAGTAGTGGTAGTAGTAGTAGTAGTAGCAGCAGGCAGCAGGAGTGAGGAGTAGTAGTGGTAGTTAGTAGTCGTCGTCGTAGTAGTCGTAGTCGCCGTCGAAGTAGTAGCAGCAGTAGTCGCGGCCGTCCAGTTCTAGTCGTAGTGGCAATGGTAAGCTTTAATCTTCGTCGACAAACAAGCAAAATCCGTTCCGACGATGCGCGGTCTAAGGTCCAGGGCTTCGGTATGATCTGGCCCAGGCCAGGCTTGCGATGAGAGCCAGTCCGGTTAGGTCGGGGCAGCCTGAACGGCGGGTGAATGAATCTTCTCCTCGAACATGGCAAAAGTAATGGCGCCAGTCTTTTCCTGGGCAAGATGGCCAGGGACTTGGGGTTTCGTGTAGGGTCTGTCTGCACTGAGAAGAGCATCAAGGAGCACAGAAGAGACGGGTCATATTCAATCGGCCGACGGGGAGGAGTAGGAGTTGTGGTCGCAGAGATAGTGGTATAATATAAGGGGCCTAAATCCATTAGAATGGGATTTTGGTGTATATTCTACCACAATGATAATAAGGAAGCTCCCAAAATAGTATGGGTAATTATGTAGGCCCTTGTATTGATTAGAAACGAAATCCAAGTTTCGTCTCCCAGCTGGGAGAACAAAGCCTTGATCTTGTCAACATGGGCCTTCTTGTTTTTCAGAATCGAGTGGACCTCAGATGGCTCAAGGATTCCTTTTGCGGCTTTCGGGGTTCCAGGTGTCGGACATTCAAGTGAAACCTTTCCAGAACCGAGGTTCTTAAACTGGGAACAAACTCTCAAAGGGGTCACCCAAGCTCCACAAGCGTCCTCCCCAACCAGTCTCCGGCTTTTGAGTGGCCTTCCTTTGTGAACACCCTGCAAGAGGACACTGCAAAACACAAGAACTAATTACTCAAGCTAGTGGCTGGTTGAGTCGGTGGCTAGGCGGCAAGCAAAAAGCCAAAAGAACAAACGCTTGCAGCGAGGTGTGGGAAAGCACGTTCTCGGCCAAGTCACCACGGCCGTATGATCGTTCTGCGCACTTTCAATCGCACTTTGGCAGAAAACTCCTCAGGAACACCAGCCCACTACAGAGTGGATGAGCAGATAATCCCTAAAGCCTAAACCCAAATAGGAGCCCGACCGGTTCAAACTGCTGGCTGATGTCCAGAAACTTCACAGGACCCTTAATGAAGAGATATCCGTAAGTTATAATGGCAAAAACTAATTTCATCTGAGCAAGTTCTAGGTGTATTCTATACGTGAGGCTCAAAGGTCGCTATAAGTTAGTTAGATATCACGGTGTTACGGAGCTCGCCGAGCTCAAATGTAATCTACCTATAGTATCCTCTACAGTTCCTTGTGTGGGCTTTCTTATGGGGTCCAAAACATAGAACTGTCGAAACCATAAAAGGAACTACCATGCAGACCATACCCTTGACTACGTACCATAACCCACCTTTGCCTAGGTCTTATGATAAACCCCAATATGGAACTTATTGGGGCCCTACGAAAAAAGTAGGTTTTGGTAGGTTGAAGTAGGTAGAATCCTGCAGAAACAACCCAGATCCCCGTCTGAAGCACCGTCCTGGAATCTAAGCCTGGTGTCAAGTGCAGCATAGGGCCATGTAACCCTGAACCCTAAACCTTATCACCCTAATGCTCTTAGAGCTCCAAGCTTCAGCTGGCCTAAACCATAAATCTTATCACCCTGTTGCCCTGGTCCTGTCACGACATTCAGGACGGCAAACAATGTGAAACCTGAAAGGCTGGTTTAAGGCTTAGAAGCCGAGGGTTCGTCCGTGTACTTCGCAAACGGTCAGCACTTCTGGATGAAAGCCAAGAAACTGATGTAGAATACGAACAGAGCTCCCCAAAATTCAGACACCGCACGAAGGGGTCGTATAACTGCTTCCCAGCTGACGCCGCCAGCAATGCTCATGAAGAGACTCAGCCTAAAAGTCGCAAAAGTCTTGATTTCGGGCAGGCTAGGAGGGTTTAGGGCTACGTATTTCAGGTGGTAAGAGATCCCTAATCCCTAAACCCAAACCCTAAACCCCAGGCAGCTAACAAAAACAAACCACGCGCGTGGACTCTGCGCATGGCTTTCACGAGAACAGCTTGGCAGCATCGCATCTTGCAGAGATCCGAAATAGTTTCTGGCCAACTCCTCGTCGCTCTTTGTCAAAGGCATGGCCGCAGCATTGTCCATCAGGAAGTCGTTGACAGCTTGCGTGAAAAGAACTCCTGAGTGCCGACGCCACATGCAGTCGTGCCACTAGTGGTCCCTACCCATGGGCTCCATAGCAGTTACTTGTTGGGATGACCTTATAGGATTCTTAAGATTAACCCTCAACCCTATACCCTAACAGCTAAACCCTAAACCCTAGCCCCTAAACTACCCTGAACCCCAAACCCTTGTGTACCGAGGCTCCGAAAACGTAGACGATCACAATGAGAAGCATGAGTGCCCAAAACAGGGACCTTAACAAAGCTCGAAGCTCAAGGCAGTTCGCAGGGGTCGAAATAGGGGTTATTATGAGGGATCTACAAGGGAACTATAATTTAGGTGCCTTATTAAAAGTAGGGTTTGGAGATACCTTATGCTAGAGTTGTAATAAGGAACACTCGAAACAGTCTTGGTAATTTTTCTTCGAAGCTCCATACAGATCACATGGGTGGCTGTCATCAAAATTATGGTCCCTTTTTAGGTCCTTCTTGAAATACGGCACCAAGTATTTATGGTACCCAATTAGGGACCATAATTTTGACAACCGCCCACATGAGCTCGCTCCGATCGCTTGTCTAGAAGCGCACTGCGGCCAAGGCACTTCAATGTGTATAAAATGGACGTTATCAATGTGCGGAATGCCATGACAAAGCGGAAGACACGCATCAATCTTACAGCTTTCACAACTCGCGTGATCCGTATGATGCGGAACCTTAGCTGGCACTCGCGGCAAGAGCACCATAAGCAAAGAAACCAAAACAACAAACTACTACTACCACTACTACTACTACTACTACTACTACTACGACTACTACTACGACTACTACGACTACTACGACTACTACGACTACTACTACTACTAATACTACTACGACTACTACTACTACTACGACTACTACTACTACTACTACTACTACTACTACTACTACTACTACTACTACTACTTCTACTACTTCTACTACTTCTACTACTACTACTACTACTACTACTACTCTTCTACTACTACTACTACTACTACTACTACCACTACTACTACTACCACCACCACTGCTACCACTACTACCTCTACCACGACCACTGCGGCTGCCACTACCACTACCACTACCCCTACGACTCCGACTCCGACTGTGACCGCAACTGCTAATGCTACGGCGACGAGCCTACTCTCTCCCGACCGCCGGCCACCGACTATACGGACCAACGAGTTCCGACGAGGACGACTGCGGCTTCGTGATCCTGAGGCAGAGGATTCATTCTCAGGTTCAGCATCATAATCAGCTTAAAGTAGCTGGAGGGATGGCTGTAGAGCTCAAGCCGGGCAGCGCTCGTAACCCTGAGACGCTCGCAACGTTGCCGACGTCATCGTTAAGGAGAAGAAACATGATGTCTGCGACCAACTCCCAGATTGAAGTGGTAACGACCTACAGATGCGTTTGCTCTTTAAGCTATGCTGGTCCAGGTAAACATGGGGAACAGGGGCCCAATCATAACTTCGGTCGATAACAGCTGCTTTGCTGTTTTTGAACATGACTTTTGTGTGTGCACATACCGATATCTGCATATGTATAAATGTACATTATATATATACACACACATAATATACACACACACACTGACGACTCATGTACGGATTGTAATACAGATGCAGCAGGCATATGCGCACGCGAGCACACGCAGTCCAAATCTGCGGGGGGATCCATCATGAAGGAAGTAGCGACGGAGCCGAGCCAGTGAGGTGGAGTATTCTGGGTTTGAGGTTTCAGGCTTCATCAGGGTTTTGGGGATTAGTGATTAGGGGATTGGCAATTAGGGGCCTTGGGGTTTTGGCAGGGCTTAAGCTTGGCTTGGTGTGCAAGCGTGAACTGCACGGTAAGTCGCCTGGCGATACATGTAATGAGCACAGCCACAAACCCCAATCATAGCAACATGTGCTTCAACTCCTGCGCTTGACTGCTGCCTTTTGGCTCAACATAGATGACGCCCAAATTTCTATGTAATTCAGGGTTCTGTCTCTTGTGCGCAGTGAAATGTTCTTGCCTCGGACAAAAAAATATAGACGTTACATGAATGCTCAGTTTGCCCGCTGAACTCACGACACCTATGAATGATTGGTGTTTTTCAATTATATATTTGAAGCGGCATGCGGCGACAACGACTCGCGACTGTTACTAAAGCAACTGCTGATGATGCATCGCAGCAGAACGCGAGGATAGTCGTGGCGCAACAGCTGGTATTATGAAACACAGTAGGATGCGTTTTCCACACGGCATTACACAGACGTCATTACACATATTGTTCTTAGCAAACTGTAAACTGGCATAGTCGTCTCTGTCTGATATACAGATATACATGCTTTCCCATGGCTGTTGCTAACATCTGTTAAGCATTGCCACCATCTGCTACCTGCCCCTGCTACTGGTGCCATGGCGACTGCACACCTTCCCCCTCCCCTAAACCCCAAACTTGAACCAGTTTCTTGGTCGAAGTATTCCAGCGGAAACGAACTCCAGAAGTCATGCCACCCTACGGCCGTATCCGGCAACTAACCCCCAATGGTTTCGGAATATATGCGGTGTGGCTGAGGTGAGGGAGCATCCCCTCAAACTGCCCGAAGCACTCAACGATCTCCGGATCTCACACCCTAAATCCCAAGTCTTGCAGCTGTTACAAACACATCGCGGAAGTTGCTGACCCAAAACTCATATGCATTGCAGACATTCTCTGCATGTCGGATCAGTCTCCATGCTCTCCTGCATTCAAGATTCGGCTACCAACTGCGGTGGGTTCTTCAAGAAAGATGCGACCCCTCATAGGGTATACCTCCCTCCACCTCTCTGAGGATGCGACGAAAACATCCAGTGCGCTCCAGGCCCAGTCATCCGAACACAAGTACCTGTGGGACCTATGGTATATTCCTCATAATGGGTAATGCAGGATTTTGTCCATCAGCAGTATAACCGTAAATCAGGGGTAGGGGTACCTTTAAAGGGATCTACAAGGCACTACAAGGGTTCCTTTAAGGGTTCTTTAAAGGGATCTATAATGATCGTAGTAACCCCAAGGGTCCAAAGGACCCAATAATTAGGTACTCGTTTTAGGATAGTAAATATGTAGGTTTGGATTTTGGAGAGTGTATGATTATTAGCTACTCGGACCTGTAGGGTTTAGGGTTTGGAAGTTTCCGAAAATAAGGAGAGTGCCTCATTTTGGGGTCCTTATATATAACAGGAACACTCCTATTTAGGGTGCTAGATCAGGGTCCCCTATTTTCGGAAACTCCCATATAATCGTATTAGCAATCATAGCACCAGTAATAAGAGCGGTAACAAAACTAAAACCAATCAGTGGCAATGAGGCAAAGAAGAACATTGGTAATGTCAATAATAGTAGTACTTCTAGTAGTGATCGACCTATGGTAAGAATAGTGGCACTAGCAACAGTAGTCATAGCAATCACAATAGCGCAAGCAATAATAATATGGATAAGAATAATCACAATGATAGCTACATGACTTCAACCCAAGGCTTGGAGAATCACGGAGATGCGATCAACAGATGATTTGCGGAATTGTCATTTAGGCTCTGAACATTGCCATGAGAGCGATGCCTAGAATCTACTGTTCAAGGAATCTCAGATGCGCAATTCATCGCCACGTTCACACCCGTGCCATGCCACTAGCAAAATTGCAAGGCAGTAGACACAAATTGACGCAACAAGGACAAAAAACGAATGCAAGCAAAGCATCTGTCGCGGGCCATCAGCTGCCATTCGTAAGGCAAGCTCAATGATGAACCATGCCTTGCACTCACACGCGAGGGCACAAGCACACAAACACCGACACGCACAGACAAGCTCACACCTCAATCCCTTCACCCTGTCTTAACAGAAAAGAGATGGCCTGAGCCCTAAGCAACAGAAGTCACGGTCATCAGTGGTTCCTGGGCTTCGCGCTTGGTGTGCAGGAAACACCCATGTTATGCCGCCAGACTCTTGGATATGAAGCTCTGAGAATCATGATTTCCGTCCAAAGCCTCATCTCACGGCTTCTGTCCCTCTGTCTCCGTCTCCCTCTCCCTGCATACCTCTTCCGCTTTCTCTGACTGCCTGAATGTGTCTCCTCACTCTCCGACCCTCTCCGTCTCTGCCTTTCATTTCGCTTGAGCAGCTCCGCATCTTCCCTCTGACGCGGCGACAACCCAAAGGCTTTACTGAATAGTAGATACTTAAGCCTTAAGAGGCCCTATATAGGTACTTTACAGCCTAAGTATATACTATATGGGTACATGGAGCCTTAGGCAATTGCTTCTGCTAAGACGTTGAGAAAGTTTTGCCTCCGGTTACGAGAAGAGACACCTACTGCTTGGATCTGGGCCGGTTGGGAACAAAGCATCGTAAAAAAAACAGATGCATCCGATAGTACGCAGAGCATGCAGGGGAGGCACTCGCAGGCCCTGTGAGCTTCCAGGAGCTGGAACGCGCATTTCCAGCAGGTAAAAGTAGATAGAGGCACATCCAAAGTAAAGCACTAAAATCACTAAAACACATACATGCATCCATACAGACATACATAAATACATACAGCCATTCATTCCTTCATTCCTTCATTCCTTCATTCATTCATTCATTCATTCATTTCATTTCATTTCATTTCATTCATTCATTCATTCATTCACTCATTCACTCATTCACTCATTCACTCATTCATTCATTCCTTCGTTCGTTCGTTCCTTCCTTCCTTCCTTCCTTCCTTCCTTCATTCATTCAGTCCTTCATTCGTTCATTCGTTCATTCGTTCATTCGTTCATTCGTTCATTCGTTCATTCGTTCATTCGTTCATTCGTTCATTCGTTCATTCGTTCATTCGTTCATTCGTTCGCAGCTATCCTTTGAGTTCACGAAAGCTGAGTCAGAGCACGCTATTGGGACCCAATCACCTTTGCTGGTGCCCATCGCTGTCCCTCCAATCCCGAGGACACGGTACGTACAAACATACATACATACATACATACCTTCGTACCTACTTACACCTACTTATATTATACAAACCCACATGCATACACCTGTATACCTACATGCCTACGCGCAGATGGCATGAACCATTTGCTGATATATGTGGAGCTACTCCGGGTGGACATGTAGGGCTTCGGGTTCTGGACGCTGTGCTAATTAGACTAGGGATTTGGGGCCCATATACTTTTAAGGGTTAGTTTCTATAAAGGATCTAATTATAAGGGCTCTATAATTTAGAGGCGTTAATCATTAGAAAAAGGCTTTGCGGCCCATTATACTAAAAGTATAACAAGGAAACCCCCAAAATAGAGGGAAGGACAAGGGAACATGCCAGAGTGCAGTGTAGATGTAGCGCGCGATGTCGAGTTCCGGGGGAGCGGCGCCGTTCCCGTCGATACCTTTGCAAAGGTTCGCGTTCAGGTTTGATGATTCCGGCTTCGGCGAACGATGAGGGCTCCAGAATAGCAGGTGCATGCAGATGCATGGGCCTTGGGTCTTACCTTGATTTCTGGGTACTTGGAGGGGCAGGGGACTTAGTAAGTAGGTCATAAGTAGAGTTCTAAGTACCCTAAACGGAGTAACCCGCAATTATAACCCTACTAACTGTATATCCTAAATACCAAGTCCACTGCCCCTCCAAGTAGGGTTCATCGACACTCGTTCACAAGGTTGCCTACTGCAGATTTTGTGACCTTCCACATATTTATTCTGAAAGGCAGCTTCTTCTTGCGATCCCAGCATGCCGACCATCAGCATTGATGTGGTCATGATCATCACTGCCAGAACTAACCCTAAACCCCAAACCCGTTGCTCTCATCCTGCATCCCTAAGACCAGCCCTAACCTGCCAAGGTTTAAATCATCGCAGAGAATCAAATCATGAACTCCAAAACGCCTGAAGGAACACAACCTAAAGCCCTATACCCTAAATCCTAAACCGCCATAGCCCTCAACTCCAATAGACCTAAAATCCGAAAACCCACCAAAGAGTGTATGGGGTTTAGGGTTCAAGATTTAGGATCCAGGGTGTAGGGCGGAGAAGATCTCTCGAGGGGTCGAAACAGCTCCATAGTATATGCTTCGGCCATGATATCGGGATCATAGGGGATGCACAGGTACAAAGAACCCGATCCAATCCAGGTTGCTCGCTTGTACCTCGATGCCTGGCAGAACTTTACAATAGTTTTACAGGACGGCTGTAGAAAAGATTGCACGAAGGTGGGTTCTGAATCGGCTTCGAAAACTACGAAGTATCGGGACTTTTAAGACTTGGCAAGGTTACAAATAGGTTGTATAAGGATTTATACACTTTTGCGAACCTTCTGTAATTATTTCTATACGGGTGTTGCACAGGGTTTTTCTGCAGGATCTGGGGTCTGGGTCATCTCGGCCTTTCAGGCTCGTCCTGCTGGCAGGAGACTGTCCAGACCTTTACTTAAAGGATCATGGGACTTAGTAACTAGGGTTATGTTTAAGGTAACTATACTCATAATTACTTCTAGGCCCAATTAAGGTAGTTATAACCATACTTACCTAGTCCCATGATCCTCCAAGCACGTTCTAAAGAAAGGCTCTGTTGACTGAAATATCTCTTATTGAGATCGTGCCTTTTGTAATTCGAAAATCGATCAGCACAGAAGGTGGCAAAGGCTCCATGCACTTACTACTTGTGGTTTCTACCGGTATCCGTCGGAATATTTCGAGCATGTCGCTGTACCTGTCATGGGTACTATAGGGTCTTAATAACAAGAATATTGCTGGGGTATAGGATACTAGAAAGACAAGAAGGGGTTATTCAAAGTAGTACGGATAAGTCTTGGCCCCTATATTATGTTGAATTATGATGCCTTGATTCACCGGGCCGCAGGCTGGGTTTGTGACCGATAATGCAACTGCAGGAAGACTGCATTGGCGGTGCTTGCGATTTAGTGTTTGGCTTTCGGGTTTCGGGTTTAGGGTGCATGCACGGCACCAAAGTACCATTCTCACAGCGGCATGCAGGACTGCCTGAACCCATCCCAAACCCGTACACCGTCCTTTGCTTTAAGTCCTGTGCCCTGAATCTTCATCCCAACCCCTACACCCTATACGTATAAAGGCCCCTTCCAGTTTTTCGGTGCCTAGAAAGATCGAGTTGGAGACCACCACAAAGGCGCAGAAGATGTCGAAGCTGGTGTTCTTCACCATCCTGGCAAAAAAAACTGGGTCTACTCTTAGTGATAGTGGTTGTGGCTTTGGCATTGGAGGTTTCGGGCTTCAAGAGTTTAGGGCCTCGGCGGCTGCGGGTGTTGAGCATCGGGACATCAGCCACAGCTATCTGAACCTAGACAAGAGGGGGTGTCTCCCTCCTAAGATGAAGCAAGGGGTTCCTCAGGGTACTTGTGTTAAGGGTCCACTGCTTGGGATCTGTATATTACAATGCACGGTCCCCGTTCTTACAAAACCACGAAATGACCATGCTCCTGTGTAGCACGTCGACTTTATAAATCATGCAGCGAATACTTCACAGCCAGTGATTACATCGATGGTCTAGAAAACTGTACACTTCAAGCAACTGTCAAGACGGGCCTTTGCAGACATCGCATGTGAGGAGAAGCGGTGCTTGTGAAACTCTTCGCGTCCTTGAATCCTTGGTAGTGCCAGGACACGAAACTAGTCTTTAGGGTTTAGGGTTTAGTAAGGCCTTTCTCCGACGAAACAAGTCTCAACAATGCCTTCCCCAAAACCTAACGATAAAGGCTCCCGGATGCCACAGTGACAGAGAGCCCTCACCTGTGAAGCCAAGATCGTCAAACCAAAACTAGCGTTGCTGTCCGAACTTTACCGGCTGTCTTCCTCCGATAAAAGTAACTAGCTAGAGGCTCCATAGTAATTAGTCCTTTTTGTGGCATATCTAAATTTAGGATCCTATAGGGTAATCCCTAACATGAACTACTATGGAGCCTATGGGTAGCTAGGTGCAAGCATCTAGCCTCTTAGGGCTGAAGGGCTGAAGGCTTTTGGGGTTTCAGGGCTTTACCCAGAGCTTCCAAAATCCCTTAATTAAGGAATATACCTTAAATCATATTAGGGACCCTGTTATAATTTAAGGTATATGCCTTAATTAAGGGGTTTTGGAACCTCTGGGACTCCAGGGTGGAAGGGTTTAGCGACACACATCAGTCGTCAGGGGTAGTAAAAAGGTTGCTCATGAATTTATAAGGACAAGGGCTTTTTAGGGTGTAGGGCTTCGGATTTAGGGCTTTCTAAGTATGGGTACTTCACTTCGGACTCAAAAGAAACTGAAAAGATAAACATATTCAATTTGCTCTGAATCCAGTCTCCTCCCTGCCCCCCTGACCCTGAGACTCCGTGTACCCATGTAGCATACTAGGAACACCCTTCAAGGCCTAAGTATATGCCATATGGGTGCATGAACCCTATATGCCAAACATCTTTACACCCCCATGGCACCCTTACAGGAACCCTCAAAGGAACTCCTTAAAGGAGCCCTACTTGGAGGATCATGGGACTTAGTAAGTATGGTTATAAGTACCTTAACTGGGCATATAAGGAACTATAAGTATAGGTACCTTAATACTAACCCTAGTTACTAAGTCCCGTGAACCTTCAAGTAATATAGCTACATGGAGCCCCAGGGTGTGTGAAGCTAACAAGCTGAGCTTCTATCGCGCGAGCGGCCGGCGTCTGCGTTGTAAGCCTAGTTTAGGGTGTGGGGCCTGGTGGTAGGGTTTAGAGCCTAGGGCTCAGTGTTCAGGGCTTAAGGCTTTTGGTGTCGGCAAGCTAGTGATAGTCGCATCGCATGCCACAGGCCGCAGGGACGCGAGGTAACTAACGACTTACGGAATCAACATCACCTGGTCGGTATACCCGGTAGACGCATGCCAGGAAAGCAAAGCGAAGACAAATGAAGCACGGCGCCGGACAATGTCCCAAATAAGCGGAAGGCAGGAAGCGCACCCGATGTGGCCCATGCCACCGAAGTCCCACAATCTCGCCCCTGCATCCACCTATTCCACTGCATCTTGTACCTAGGCTTTTTTTCAAAAAAACCTATAAAAGAATATGTTTTTTTTGAAACTTATGCTTACGTACGCAAGGAAACAAGTCTCGTGCTGCTAGGGTCTAGTACTAAGATAGTCCTCGACCCCTGATTCCCTCATGCACAAATCTACAATTACAATCCCACACCTGCATCGACTGCGCTCCCACCTAATTTCTCCGTGTGTAAGAACCCCTAAACCCTAAACCCTAAACCCTAAACGCTAAACCCTAAACCCCCTAAACCCTAAACCCCCTAAACCCCAAGCCCTAAACCCTAAACCCTAGCTATGTTATCCAAGGCAGAGCTCAGGATGCTCGCAAACCCCTCAACCCCCAACCTCACAATAAATCGGAACATGGATCCTGAACAGCAAACCCCAAAGCCTAAGTCACAAGCTGCTTGATATCGGTTTCTCGACCCCCGACGAGACTCTGGCATGAAGGGATCGGGTTCCGTGCTTTGCAGGCTGTAGGGGTTTTAGGGCTTAGGGGTTTAGGGTTTAGGGCTTGGGGCTTAGGGTTTAGGATTTTGGTTTTAGGGTTTCGGGGTTTTGGGTGGGCTTAGAGTCCTCGTGACCTGAAACACGCTAGGCCCTGAAGCCTAACACCCGAAACTGACTAGATAAAAGCAAGGGGCAGCATCCAGGTGTGCCAGATTGTCACTCGTGAAAGTGCCTGAGCATGGAGTAGGGATTTCCGATTACGGTGCTGTGGAACTCTTCCTGCTGCACCATCCACTACTTGCTAGTATCAGGACCGTTATATACATGTTCTGAAGTGGCCTGACCAGTCGGATGACCAAACACCCTGAAGCAGACATGAAGATGGCAATGCTATGTGGGAGTTGCCGAAACTTAGAGGTACCTTATTTTGGGGTCCTTAAAAATAAAAACCCTACGATTTAGGGTACTATACTGGGGGTCCCCCTATTTATTTTCGGAAACTCACAAAAACCCTGCTAGAACCCTTTAAAAGAACCCTTGTAGTACTCCCATGTGCTAGTAGACAGACCCGGCGCATTGCGCAGCGCACACGGCAAGATCACAAGGCTTCCGGTGGAAGGTAAGATAGGGGCCTTAATGAGTAGAATAGGGTTTTAGGGTTCCTTCCGAGGGGTCTATATAAGGGTTACTATAAGGGATCTGGAAGGATACCTTAATTTAGGGGCCTTAACAATTAGAATAGGGTTTTGGGGCCAATTATACTATAGGTATAATAAGGAAACCCGAAAATTGTATTGGTACTTATTTAAGCCCCTATAGTAATGTATAACAGAATCATGCCATTTGCAGTACGATGTTGCTTAATGTTTTGCTACATCAGGTGGAGAACAACACAAAACACGAAAGAGTGGGTCTCATCAAGATGCAAGACTCGGCATACCAAAGGTCTAGAGTTTCAGCAATGATGCGCCGAGACGACCAAGTAACATTGCCTGCAGCAACACACCACAGAATCTCCGCAAATAGCGGTTCGGGCTGCTGAGTGCCGTAATGCCTGGGATTGGCCACCGCCCGTCGATCAAGTGAACTATGTAACTTATGCTTTAGCGAAGTTTTAGATCTGGAGACTGATCTGAACGTCCCTGAACACTAATAGGCTCAAGCGCTCAAACTTCAACCCATGACTGCATTGCGACGAAGCTTCTGAACAACGCAGCCTTCGATTCCGCAAGCGGGGCTTCATCGTAAAAATTCGGCGAGTCCTCCTTGCGATCGGGCGTCGCGAAAAAACGTCATGCGACGGCTTCTGAAATTAGAGTTAGAAGTTATAATAAAGCTTGAGTAATTAAGGGTTGCAGTAGCAGAAATGTTAATATTGTCGTGATGTTGATGATCATGACAATAACAATATCGGTCATAACAATGTCAATAATTAACAACAACAGCATGCATAATACCAGAGGGCCAACAGCTATAGCAACTATCAATAATAGTGCACTCTCCTTTCAATACAAAGCTGTTCCAGGCCAGAGGCCTTGTCAAAAGCGACCCTAGACAGCACCACCACCACCACGACCACAATAAGTTCAGCCGGTTTAGGGTTTAGGGTTCAGGGTTTAGGGTTCAGGGTTTAGAGTTTAGGGTTCAGGGTTTAGGGTTCAGGATTTAAGGTTTAGGGTTTAGGGTCCAGGGTTTAGGGTTCAGGGTTAGGGTTTAGGGTACTGCTGTTCCTTAGGTCTTCTTGCTGTTAGGACCGGAGTATATACCAAAATCCCCATTCTATCACCTCAGCGGCCGCCACCGGCCACCTCTGAGAACAACTCCAACGACGTGGCACCACAGTCTACATCCACAGTAACAGTCGCGTGACTCGATGACAAGGAACTTCAATAGCCCTAAACTCCACATCCCACTCCCAAAACCCTGAACTCGAGGGGTTCCTTATTATAGTTTTAGTGTAACACAAAAGCCTAGTCTAACTATTATAAGGCCCCTATAGTATAGTACCCTTACAGACCCCATATAGTAACCCCTTATATAGACCCCTTTAAAGGAATCCTATTCCCCCTTGAAGTAACCCGATATTTTGTGCAAAGAAAGCGTCTGCGATGTTATCGAGCTCTGAGCCCCGTTGCTTCGGAGACGCCGAGGCCTCGGCCAGGCTCTACAGAGTTTCGGGTTTAAGGGTCGAGGGTTTAGGGTTTAAGGGTTGACGGTTTAGGGTTAAGGATACAGCGTTACTTGGAGGAAATTGGGACTTAGTAGTTCCTTATAAGGGTACTATAGGGCTCTATAATAGGTTTCCTCACAGGGATCTAGAAGGGTTTTATAGTGGAGGATCATGGGACTTAGTAAGTATGGTTATAAACATAACTTGGGGTATAAGTAATTATAAGTATAGTTACCACAATAATATCCCTAGTCGATAAGTCGCATGATCCTTTAATTTAAGTAGCACAGCCACAATCCCAAGGGTCCTACCGTAGGTACTGATATCGGGGATACGTTCCCAACTCATAATTAATATTGATTCCTGATACAGAACCCCTAATTACATTCTACTTATATAGGTACTTGCGACCCTTGAGGAATGGCTAGGGTTTACGGGTTAACGTCCCCTACAAAGGTCACGGTTTGCAGGTTAAGGTGCCCTACAATTGCTACGGTTATGGGGTTGAGGTCCCGGTGTAGGGTTTAGGGCCGTTACGGCAAGTCACCATGGATGTCACTGCATGCGGGCAAAGTGGAGTAGTCGCTGACGAGAACGTACCTACCCCTTGTTCAAAGCAGGTCTTTGCAGACGTAGTCGTGAAATCTTGGCCTGTCGAAGATTCAAACCCTAACCCTAAGCCCCTCATCAACATCGTCACAATTGGGCAGCAGGTTGGCTATTGGGATTGCACGGTCTGGTGTGTTGGAGAGTGAATTTGTTTTTGAAGTTCGGGTACCAGAACTTTCAGCACCAAAAAAAAGCCGGGGAAGACCTGGATATACACCCCAACAGCCTTAGCATAATGAACCCCCAGTCTGTCAGATGTAACTCCTCAGCCCTTACCCTCAGAGTGCAAGCAGACTGGACAGCCGGTCGATCATCAAGGCACCTAACATGCACAAGACGCAATTGGCAGTGAAGGCGTGATAGGCCCAGAATCTAGACTAAGACCGAACCGTGATCCTGTACCAAAGTGCTACACTGAAGCCTTCAGTCTGGTAGGATGCATCTTGCAGTTTTCGATAATTACAGAACACGACATCTTCCTCGACCCGGTTTGTGTTCCTGCCCAAGTGCTTAACCTACAACATTGTCCCGTCTCCCTTCGACGAGTTGAGGCCATAGACGGTCCGGTGCATTTAAGCCTATTGTGCTCTTGTCCTAAGATGCACTACGTATCTTAAAGAAAGAACCCCAAGGGTCCAAGTACCCAATAATTACATACTCCCCAAAATCCTAAGCTACATAACTACTACCCTAAACCCGACTACCGAACTATTGGGTCTTTTGGACCCTTAGGGAAACGGATAAGTTCAGACCAAAACCACTGCCGTAAGAGCCGGGGAACCTTGGAACTCTCCGCCGTGCCAGTCGTGCCGGCCCGCTTCGGTACGAGAATTCGCTGTCGCTCAGCTCGCTGGAGGAGCCTTCGGGTTCACCCGAAGTCAAAGGTGAAAAGGAGGGACCCTTAATGGGGACCCCTACCCTGTACTGGGCTATATAATGGGTATATAATAGCTATTTTAAGGGTATATACCTAGGGGTCCTTATTAAGGGTCCCTCCTTTTGCCCTTGGACTAAGGCTCTTAATAAGCTTAGGGGCTTTGTGGGCGAGGGTTTGGGCTTTGGGGGCTAAGGTTTAGGATCTCACTACGAGGGTCCAGGAGCATTAGGGTGTATCGATTCAGGGGCTTAGGGATTTGGGGTCTTAGCGCGTAGGGTTTGGCAGGGTTTACTCCGACTAGCAGAAATGACGAACCTTACTATCACGACGACGGCTCCTACCAATAATACACTTTACTAGTGATACCACTGACTGCCAACACATACTACAAAAAATGCAGCAACAACGACGATTGCGACGACCGACGACAACGGGGACGAGGAGGACGCTCACAACCCGACACGACAACATCTACTACGAATCTCAATATGACAACAAATGAACCATTGGTGGTAGCAGTACCCATGGCAACATCAATGCTCACGGCTGTAAGACCCAGCAGCAAACATACTGGCAACACGCTAGTAACTAACAAAAGTACAAACAGAGGGGGTGCAGGTTCAATCTGTGCATCTAGGGCTCAGGAATTGAGACATTGAGACTTAATTCTACAGACCTTAAGGGGTCAGACAGTCGTGCGTCGTGCGGCAAAGAAGCTGTTGCAGCACGACGTCTTGACTGTCGAGTCTGTGGAGGATGTCCTGAAAAGCGGCAGCGGCCCCCAGGAGGTGTCCTCAAGCCTGTACCCCCTGCTGTTGATGGACAAAACCCTGCACTACCCGTTATAAGGAATATACCATAGTTCCCATAGTGAAGAGTCCTAAGGGTCATGCAGGATTTTGTCCATCAGCAGTAAAAAGCACACCACAACAGATAAACACCTGAAGCACAAACTCCAGAAGCCTGAACAGTAGGGTTGTAGAGGGACGAAAAGGCTCTGGCAAGCCAGAAGAAGAAAACCCCAGTGTGCTGGCAGGACTTCTTTGTAGCTTTTTCCTTCGGTGCTTATACATGTTGTCGAAGACTGGTGCTTCGGTTGGTTTTGCCGTGCACAGATGATGTCTGAGATCAGAGCGGGCGAGACCTTAACTGAAACACCCACCATCAAGCCCCATTTGGTGCGACGTTTCCTGGAGTACTGGCAGTTTGGTGTTGTGCAATAGAAGCGTCACACTACTGCACATGCCTCGCCAGGATCGCGAGCAGCAGATGTAGGCGCCAGCTACGAACATTTACCCGACAAGACCTCTTCAGGCTATGCATTGTTGAGGCTGAGTTGTTGATGGATTCCCCAAACCTTGATAATCTTAAACCCGAAACCTTCAAGCCAAGACCTTGAACCCTGAACCCTAACACTAAAGCCTAAACTCTAAACTATAAACAATAAACTCTAAACCTTAGACCCTAAGAGGAGGAAGCCCGTTGTTCTGACAAACACTCATGCGGCAGCTGTCCTGCTTGATCTGTTGCAGCACAGAGGTCGGTACACCTGCACATGGTAACAGCAAAGGAGGCCAAGGGACCTCCCCCGAACCCCAACACATTGGAGGTTTCATCATCTCATAATATTAGAGCATGTTATGTTAGATCGTATCATGGTGCAGTTGTATTCTACTATGTTGTATTATGTTATACCTAGCTCCGAGCCTAAAGCCAGGTAGGTTTGAATGGCCCCGGCTCGCCTGCCGTCTCAAAATCAGCGCTGGCAGCACCATGCGCCTGAGACATGGGACACTCCTGGGTTCTATGACTGGCCCTGCAGGTTTAGGGTCCAGGGTTCGGGGCGCAAATACAAACGAAACATAACCCTCATCCAACCCTAAGCAACTTGGGTCTTCAGGACTTCCCATGTGCTAGTTGCACGCTTTAAGTTCGGCATACGTACTTGGACCCATCGAAAAGAGCTCCGAATCATTGCAGTGTCTGGCGGGTTAGAATCTAGCATTACGTGTCGGGCTGGGTCCACCAAAGGGACAGTATCTCAACATCCTGTGGCGCCTAATACCCATCCTCTGTAGAGAGCGGTCGACTGTGGGGCCTGGGTTTGGTTTCAGTGCTTTCTATCGGGTTTCAACGTTAATGGCTCCAAAGCAGTAGCTTGTGTTTTGTGTCGCGTTAAGCACATACCACAAAGCAAGCATCACAAGTGTTTTTCGGAACAGCTTATTCGAGCTGTGCAAAATCGCTCTCCAACAGGCTCCACACCAGTGTGTAGGTCGAGCCCCTTAATCTGGGTTCTTGTGTAGCAGATCTTACAAGCAGAAAACGCTGTAAATATCGATGAATTCAAGACTCTCTAAAGAACGTCTTGAGGTAGGCTACATAAGCTCGACAGTTTCTCTATGCAGCTCTGATAATCGGGCCTTTAAGACTCTGGACTGTCTACCCAAAGCAAGCTTAGCCAACACCGCTGTTGGTAACAGTGTTTGAAACACCAATGTAGAGATTCAGCCTAATTAGCTGTCGAATTGCATTGGCATAGGGATAACGAAATGTGGATGCACATAAGGGCCCTTGTTTTTGCGAGGTGAAGCAAAGTAAAGATGTGAGCGGGTTCAGCCTATGTACCTGTATAAAAGACTACCAAAGACAAACTGTAATCGATGAAGATCTGGATGCTGTCCTAGACTGGAATCCTACTTGTGTTGATGCTTATCCGATTCTGGCTTCTTCCGATACCCTTGTTCATAAGGTACCCCGTACCCCTTCGAAATAGCCAGTATTTGGATCAACATCATTTGGATTAGTGAAAAATGCTGCACTGGATACCGGGTCGGTTCCAAGCCATAACGGATCGTCCTCCTATAGTTCCTCAAACCGGTTTGGTCCAGGCCGTAGCACGCTCTCCATCCCCACACATAGCCTTACAAGAGACTTTGTACAGTTGAAATACTAAACACAAACATCTTGTGGTTTCACTCGATGAGCCTGGACGTATCAGCCGCACGCTGCTGCAGTGCGTTTATCTCTGTATACACAAAAGAGAAACACACGGGCCCGATTTCTGTTGCCCTTAAACGACCCACATGTTTACAAACAACCCGCAAGTTTATAAGCAAGGCCCGGTATTTATAAACAACCCGTGAAAGTGTTCATAGAAGGACAAGCAGAAATCACCGCAAATACCAGTGTTTATTGATTTCAACTTATCCAACCAGGTCTTGGGGTATCTCACATTAATTCCACACTTTCCTCCTCCATTAAGAAAAAGTTTTGTGACCAGCACTTAAGACTTGAGGGTTGGCGTCAATTGGGAATGGCTGCGCGCGTCTCGGGCGGAAGGTGGATTGGTCGGCGGTTGTACCTTGTGGTGAACGTGCTGGTGGTGAGGGGGGGGGAGGGGGGGGGGGGGGGGGGGGGAAACCATAAACTTAAAGGTAGCTCTAAAGGTACCTACAGCAATGGCTGCATGCTCATACATATACATTCTGCTGCAAATTGCTCACAGTGGTTTTACAATATTGCGAAAAGACAAGCTCTTCCTTGCGTAGCAAGACAAAACAACTACTGTCCGTGTGCAGGGCGCTGCCCTTTGATCCTTAGGGAATAACTGGTCATACACCTCCTACAAGGAGTATCCTTGGGGGTGTATCGGCACAGTTTTCTGGTAGCGGAGCCCGGAAAGGGCCGCCCGCCTCACAAAGTCCGCTACAGCGGTCGGCCTCGCCGAACGCTTAACCAAGCGGATAAGAGGCAGCACAATGTCGAGCTCGCATAGCGAAGCCGACGGCAGTTCCCAATCCTCCGGGGGATATGAGAACGAAGAGACCTCCCAAGGTCCAGCCACTTATGTCGCACAGTCATATGCAACATCTGACCGCATGCTTGCATCATTAGGCATAACGCCTAAGATCGCGCCTGCCTATGATGGCACCACCTCGTGGTTTGAGTATGAACAGTTGATTGACGACTGGTGCGACATAACAACGCTGGATGACACCAAAAGAGGTCCGTCTCTCAAGACGAGGCTCTCCGGATTGGCCGCAGTACAAAAAGAATCACTCAACCGAGAAAGGCTTGCAGCCCCAGATGGAGTAGATTACTTCAAGAAGAAGATGCGTCCATTTTTCGTGAAAGGAGAACAGTACGTTTTCCTGTGGCGTTTCCTCGGCCTATTCAAGGCATGGAAGGGCAACCAAGACTTTGTGACTTGGATTGCTAAGTTTGAGATCGTGCTACAGCGCGTGAAAAACTCATGGATGGATCTCTTACCAGAGATAGCTCTGGAAGATGCCCATCCAGATTTCATGCAGGCTGTGCAGGCAGATCAAACCTTCTTGCGCCTACAGGATGCAACCGAGAGAGACACATACGCCGCACGTTTCTTCGAAACATGGAACAAGGAACGCCTTGATAATCATCGAAGAGCGTTTCCTCTAAATGATAATCTCCTAGCTCTCCTCTTCCTAGTGCAGTCCGACCTAAATGAGATGCAACGTGAGAGGTTGGTAACAGCATTGACCAACCAAGGTTACCGAATTGAGACCTACACGTACCCTATAGTACGGCAGACCATGTTCGATCAGTTCTCAACGACCAGAACTGGTCTGCAGGATCCCAACATTCGGCACACTTCTCACAAGAAGGACCGCCATGGAAGGAGAGATCAACGCCGCAAACGCGGAGGTCGAAACTTCCTCATCCTCGATCAGGGTGAATACGATGGAGTCGATGGATTCTGGCTCCAAGACGAAGACACCCTTGAGGAAGGCTTTCTTGCCGCCGAGGATGAAGAAGCTGTCTTCTGGACAGTTGATGACCATGAGGCCTTCGTTGCAAGGAGATTCAAAAAGGGAAGAAGACCAAGAATGCGTCCCGGATCACCGGGAAGAGCAAAGGGTGGCAAGCGAAAAGGACGTGGCCGTTTTAGGTCATACCGCGGAAAAGGGAGAGCCAACCAGGCAGAACATGATCCAACTGATTCCAGCTATTTCGGTAAAGGTAAAGGAAAAGAAAAAGGAAAAGGTGGAAAAGGCAAAGGAAAAGGAAAGGACAAAGGAGATAAAGGAAGCTCCTTCAAGGGTACAAAATCAAAAGGCAAAGGTAAGGATACAGCTAAGTCTGCCTCCTTACAAGGAGACCAAACTGGATCTCCACAGGCCTATGAAAGTTCCACCGCACCGAGCTGGGATTCATGGTATGAGGACAGTTATTATACTGACTCCAGTTGGAATTATGCCGCTTACGACGATCAAACGTCTTACACATACTATGCATCACAAGCCTCACGAAGAAAGACACGGAAAAAGAAGAGAAGAAATCAAGCAGGATCATTAGGTAGAGGCACAGATCCGAGCGCGCACCAAGAACCCGTGTACAACTCATCAGTGAGTTACGTGCCCCAGGTCTTTGAACCATCCGAGGGGCAAGGTGTGGAGACTGCAACAGCAGTGTTTCCGTTGCAGCACACCGTCCTATCTGCTCTCACAGAGCGGATCAATCTTGATAAGAGCCCTACCTTTGTCATACTTGACTCAGGTTGTACTAGGGCTATGGGTTCCCGCTATGCGGTGAACAGGCTTATCAAGGCCGTGAAGCAACATGCCCCAGGCATGATTGATTTCACTTTTTCACCTTCGAACACGAAGTTCTCTTTCGCAGATAGTGAAACAGCTCTTATCAAGGAGCGTGTAACTCTATGGTTTAACACAACTCCAAGAAGAGATACAACCATAGAAGTTTTGGATCAGGGAAGAGTCCCCATTTTGTTTTCCATCGAACAAATGAGGAATTTAAGAATGACCCTCGAGTGTAGTCCAACAGCTGACCTAGCAACGTGTGAAGCTTTTGGTTTGTATAAAACCCCTCTTCCGATTAGTACCAATAACCATTTGGTATTGGACCTTCTAGGCTTTACTTCCACCAGGAAGTATCTCCCTAAGTCAGGTACGTCGTTCAGTGCGACGGAGACTGCTCTAGGAGCCAAGAAGCCTTATACTAGGATACCGGAAGGTCGCTGTCCAGCCTGTGCCGGACAGAAAAGGGCTCACACGTACCTCAAGGGTTGCGACAAAGCACCTGAGGGAGCAGCTGATCCACCACCGAAGAGGATTTCAGGTAAAAAGAAGCCTCTTCCATCTGATCCGGCAGAATCATCTGCCAAGAAACTTGATCCACCAGAACCATCTGGTGATGTTCCTGAGCCTTCCGGACCATCGGAACCATCATCAGGCTCTAGGGACAAACCTGCAGAATCCTCTGCACCACATGAACCTCCAGAAGAAGAAAGACTTGAGGTCCCACCTGCGAAGATAAAGACTCCAAAGGGTCTCAAAAACCTTCTGAAGAAATCCCGCAAATATGCGGCTAAATCTCCTGTTGAAGAGAAGTCTAAGGTCCCAGGAGCTGATGACGGGACGGAGGTAAGACCACTTGAGTCAAGAGAATACCCGGCTCCTGGTACAGACTCACCTACAGGTGAAGAGATTGTCCCAGAACCATCGCCATCTCTTCCCATTGCTCTTCGCAGGATTCATGAGAAGCTTAAGGACCCTGTAGAACTCTATAAGCCTCACCTTAAGCACCGTCATATGAGTACGGATCAGTTCAAGCGACGCACAAAGGCCTTACAGATCCCAAAGGAAATATACGAGCTATATGACCAACTGGTCAAAAAGTGTTCAGCCTGCCAGGAACATGTGAGAGCTCCTTCGAGAGCGAAGATTTCTGGTTTAAGATCAGAGACTTTCGGTGATCTCACCTTCGTAGATCACGGTGAGCTTCCAATTCCCGGCAAGGATAGTCGCTTAGTATTTCTTATTCTCTATGATGGAGCAACAAACTTGTTGACTGCCGAAGTAGTCAAGGATAAAGAAGAACATACTACAATGTCGATTATGAATGACTACTTTGAGAAATTTCAGATCAACCCAAAGGTTGTAGTTGGAGATCAAGCATTCATGACTCCAAAAATGGAGGCTTATTACAATCGGCAGAATATCAAGCCTGTGGCAACAGGAACTGGAACACCATGGCCCAACAGGGCCGAAGCTGCTGTAAGATTGCTGAAGCATCAGATTAAGCTCATACTTCAGATCCTGAAGGATGGTGACCCGCAGTATAACGGAATCACCATGAAGTATGGCAACCTCGTTCGCCAAGCATGTTTGGCAAGAAATTCTTCGATTACCTACGGAGGAGTTACTCCTTTAGAAATGGCCTTTGGAAGGCGTCCTCGAGATGTTATAACACCAGAGAACGCTGATCCCAATCAGTTGACAGGTAATACAACTGATACGGAAGTCACTGCGAGAGCCATTAAGGAGCTTGCCAACAGGGCTTACCAAGAGGCACGCCAATCTGATGATCTGCGTAGAGATCTTGCAGCCAGACTGTCAATGACCCAAGGACCTTTCTCTTTGGGAGATAAGGTTTTCTACTGGTCAGACGATAAGTCTAAGATTGGATCCACTGGGTCCAAACATGGATCTTGGCTAAAAGGAAAGGTGATCTCCGAACTCGGAGGATCCATGGTAGGTGTGGATCTTGGAACACGCATCGTCCGCGTTAATATCTCAAAACTGAGGAAAAACTATGACATAACATCTGATGTGGAGATTCCTCTCGCGCCTGATGAGGAAACTCTGACGTCAGAAGGTTCTGACCACGCACGTTGCATGGTCACCTTCGATGCTTCCCTGCAGTCGACAGACCTAACGATTCCACATCAAGAGTGTCACTGGCAGGTCACCAGCACTGGGAAGATTGACTTCCTAGCACTCTACGGCGGA